TTGCCAAAGGATTTTTAATTATGTACCTATACATCACAGAACATAAGGTATATAGTTGTAAGGGACATAGCCGAAAGCAGCAGTAAGGGACAGCAGCAGAAAGTCTGGCTCCTCTCCATCCATGAATTCCATTCTTCCAAAGAAGCTCCTTCAATTCTTCAAGATGTTTCTTCTGGTAATGACTTCCATATTTGTATATCACACACTTATATTAGTATTTCCTGATTTTTTTCAATTTTAGATGATCAACAGTTCTGTTCTCAATCTGTTGGGGCATTTATTCACCCACCCCACTTCCCCAGGTATACTCACACTGTTGACATGCAAACATATAAAAATTCTAAACACATATATGTGTGTACATATTTACACACTGTCCTGTTCCCAGTGAGGTCATGTTTTGGTTAATAAATAAGATCTCATTTCACATCCAAACACTTCACAAAATGTAGTGGGCAAAAAATTAAAAGCTTGGCCTCTGTATTAGAATTCCTGGATTTGGGGGCACCTGGGTGGCTCAGTGTCTGAGTGTCTGTCTTTGGCTTAGGTCGTGATCCCAGGGTCCTGGGATCAAGTCCTGCATCAGGCTCCCCAAAGGGAGTCTGCTTCTCCCTCTGCTTATGTCTTTGCCTCTGTGTCACTCATAAATAAATAGAAAGAAAGAAAGAAAGAAAGAAAGAAAGAAAGAAAGAAAGAAAGAAGAAGAGGAGGGAGGGAGGGAGGGAGGGAGGGAGGGAGGGAGGGAGGGAGGGAGGGAGGGAGGGAGATATCCTGGATTTGGGTCTAAGTCCACCACACACAGGCGGAAAGTATGAAAATGTGTTAAGGAAACCGAATTCAAAATTGGAGTTGGAGGATCCCTGGGTGGCGCAGTGGTTTAGCGCCTGCCTTTGGCCCAGGGCGCGATCCTGGAGACCCGGGATCGAGTCCCACATCGGGCTCCCGATGCATGGAGCCTGCTTCTCCCTCTGCCTGTGTCTCTGCCTCTCTTTCTCTCTCTGTGTGACTATCATAAATAAACTAAAAAAAAAAAAAATTGATTAAAAAAAAATTGGAGTTGGGAAGCCATGAAAGGAGGGCTCTGACACACATACCACTCGCAGTCACAGCTTGTATAGTCCAGAAGAAGGAAGGTTTCCTCTGAGCCCAACAGCAAGCTGCCCTTGCCTGCAGCCAATGAGAAGCTGCAACTAACTTTAAACAAAACTTTTGTTCAAAACAAGCCCTTCCCAACTTCCTCCTTTCCTTTATAAAAGGATGCTTGGGGGCGCCTGAGTGGCCTAGTAAGTTGAGAGCCCATCAACTCTTGGTTTCAGCTCAGGTCATGATCTCAAGGTTGTGAGACTGAGCCCTGAGCTGGGCTCTGTGCTGGGCATGAGACCTGCTTAAGATCCCCTCTCTGCCCCAAATGCCCCTCCTGCTTTTAAAAAAAAAAAAAGAGAGAGAGAGAGAGAGAGAGAGAGAGAGAGAGAGAGATGCTCTTCTCCTTTGTTGTCTGGGCTTGCCTGTGGTACACCATAGTTTGTTTGTCCTAAATTGCAATTTTTCTGCTATTCCCAAATAAGCTCAATTTTGCTGGCTCGGAAGTTTACCTTTTTTCTTTTAAAAGGCTGACATTTCATGGTGTCAGAAGTGGGAACTAAAGGAGAGGAACCCCTGAGAAACTAATGCCCCCCAGAACCATGTTTGGAGCCCACTTGAGCCCCTGGTACTCTCCAATTCCATGAGTTGTCTTCTTCCTTTCAGTTAATTCAGTAAGTCTCCTCTTGGATTCAAGTTCTCTTCTTTTGGTTGATCTGTTTTCTTAAAGATATCATCTTTTTGATGAGTACTCATTTGTTTTCTGAACCTCTGGTTTGGTTTGGTTTTTAAGATTTATTTATGGGGGGTGGGGCGGAGCAGAGGGAGAGAATCTTTCAGGCAGAATCCTCGCTGAGGGAGGAGCCTGACTTGGGGATCTCCATCCCACGACCCATGAGATCATGACCTGAGCTGAAACCAAGAGTTTAACCAACTGAACAACACAGGAGGTCCCTGAACCTCTGGTTCTGAAGTATGGAATCCCAATCTTCTAAATCCTCTCAAGAGGTCCCCTTTCTGTAACCCTGATTGGTTTTATGTTCAAAAACTATGGTCCCTCCTCATACACATTCTTAACTAAATGGACTAACTTATCCAAAGATAATTTAGAACGCCAATGGCCATTATGAGAAACTTTCAACCTCACCTTACCTGCTTGTTTCACAACTAAATTAGAAGACTGCTCTAAAATTAAATAGACTGAATGGGATTCCTATTTTAGTTGGTACCTGGAGGCTTCTAAACATATCCAATATTCTAAAATTGCCTTTTTACAAAAAAAAAAATCTAAATTAACTGAGGTGAACAAACAAGCTAAAGAAGACAGAAAACCTTCTGAGGCTTTTTTCTTCTCCCTTGTCCCCCTTGTCTCCAGTGCTGGCTTCCTGTTTCTCTTCTGTACTGTCCTTCTCTCTTCAGTACTCTCCACTTTCCTAATTCCAATCCTCTCACCACTTCCCCATTTCACCAGTCCTCTCCCCAATTCCTCTTCCCACAAACCATCAGACCCTCTGAGGATCCAAATACATAGTCCTTAATTTCTCATGTTCTCTGGACCAAAGCTGAACTATAAGCCATGGTCAAAGATTTTTCCCAAAGTAACTAAGGATCCCCACAGATTTGCTGAGGAATTTCAGAGAGTCATTCAAATTTATCAACCTGGCTTCTCTGACTTATCAGATAGTCCATATGCCTGTCAGTGAAGGCCAGGCCCAATGCTGGATGAAACTGCCAAGTGGAATGATCCCCAAAAGTCTTTAGAATGACAACTGGGAACAGAGAAACCCCTACTGCCTAATTTTATGATCAGGCTCAAGGAACAACCAAACTACTTCATTTGGCAATTCCTACGATTTTCCCAGTCAATTAGAATAAGACTCAGGCTTATGCCCAAAAGTTCAATGAGCCCATGATTATTTTAGCTGGCTCCAAATTGTTTTTAAAGAAAATTCTGGTCTTCCTTTGGATGTTAAATCCACTCGGGTAGGCTTTAATTCTGTTCATTATTGGGCTGAGGTGGGATATTTCTCTTCTGCTAAAAAGGACAAGGATGAAATGGGAGCCTGTGTCAACTCAAGATTTATTTAATTTAGCTAACCAGCTCCCATACCCAAGATGATTCAACTAAGAAGAAAGACCACTGAAATTCTTAATTTTCAACCCCAACAAATGGGGCCTCTAAATAAAATCAAATGCCTCCTGATCTCTGTCATTACTGCAAAAAGCCAGGATACTGCAAGAAAGACTGCGACAAACTTAAATGCTTCAGGAGCCTTCACCCCTCTAACCAACCTTTCCAATGTCCTAATCCCAAATGACAGGACTCCAAGGAACTCTAAGGGCTTTGGGAAAAGCTTTCCCCTTCATCGAGAAACCATGCTCCAGATTGGGGATAAACCTTTCTCCGTACTTACTGACACCAGAGCTACATTCTCAGTGCTCATCTCCATTACCATTAAATAGCCCCTGCCTCCAAGTACTAAAAGCAGTTCAGAAGGTGGAGGTCTCTAATAAACTTCAACAGGTTCCTGTCTCTACACCTATCCCCTTTTCTCAGGCCCTTTAAGAGATGGCCACCCTTTTCTCCGTAGTTCCTCCACCACTATTCCTTTTTTAAGCCACAGTTCCTTAGAAAACTGTTATACTCTTGAAAAGGAGAAACAATTCTAGAATTTGAAAACAGCAACCAAAATAGCCAACTAAGTGAATCAAATGACCCTTTAGCATCTTTTATTTGCTCCAACCCTGGAAGCACTGGAACTTATACCAAAAGACACTAATTATCTGTCAGTATTAGATCAGCTACCACACTCCTTAAGGTCAAAATCCTCTACTAATATTGACAAAATCCATAATGTATCTCCTATTAAGATCCAAATTGATCCCCTAAAACCTCTCCCCTGAATTAATCAGTACCATATAAATAAAGAGAACCTTCAAGGCATTAACCCAGTAATAAAAGAGTGTAAGGCCCAGGGTCTCAACATCCCTTACACCAGTCCCTACAACACTCCTGTGTTACCTGTGAAAGTAAATGGCCACAATGGAAGCTTGCCTGCGACCTCGGAGCCATGTTGTCACCAGTCGCCCCCAATCCCCACACTTTATTAGCCTGCATTCCCTACTGAGAGCAATTTTTTTCTGTGATTTAATATATGTAGTGCTTTCTCTAGTATCCCAGTACATAAAATAAATCAATAGCTTCCCCTTTTACTTGGGAAGGACAGCGAAACACCTGGATAGTAAAGCCCCAGGGTTTCACTGAAAGCCCTTATTTCTTATAAAGTTTTGAGGGCTGACCTAGATGATATCAAGTTCCCTGGAGTCCCTACTTGAACATGGTAGGAGAATGACTTACTTCTCCGCTCCCCATCTCAAGCCTCCTCACTAGAATATAACATCCATTTGCTAAACTCCTGGCCAAGAAGGGATATAAATTCTCTAAGAAAAAATTACAATCTGTATAAACTCAAGTATGATATTTAGAAGATCTAATCTCAGAAAAAAGACTTACATCTAGATCCAGACAGGCTTTGTGGCACCCTGAACTTCCCAAAGCCTAAAATCAAACATCGACTGTGAGGTTTGCTTGTACTGGCAGGCTATTGTAGCAATTGGACCCTAAACTTTTCTCCTATGGCCCAACGTTTATACACCTTGTTAAAAACTACTAAACCTGACCCTATCAACTGAAAGGTTCAGATAACATAACTTTATAAATCTTAAAGTTAAAAAAAAATAAAAATAATCCTGCCCTTGGACACCCCAATTATCAACTCCCTTTCTTCCTCTGTATATGAAAAGGAGGGACTGTCCTTGGAGCACTCACCCAAAAGCATGATGATCATCACCAGCCCATAGGATACTACAGCCAACAACTAGATCCTGCAGCCTGTGGATAACCCCCAGGCCTCAGAGCTATGTCGGCTACTGCCCTTTTTGTAAAGGCCACTGAGGAAATGGCCATGGGATCCTTTTTAACCATCTTTGTGGAACGTGCAGTTGAACTCCTAATTCTCATCATAACATCTTTTAGTAAGCTGTCTCACTTCCTATGAAATGCTCCTGTAAACTGCCCCTTCTATCACTGTAATAATTCACGGTAAAAACCTTAGCCCTGCTACTCTTTCCCCTTCCCACACTGATGAAGCCCCCCACAACTGCTCAATACCAACAGATGACCCCTGACTCCCTGTGATGACTTAAAAAAACTCCTTTCAATAACCATGACTCCTCATGGTTCACTGATGGATCTTATGTGGAAAATGAAGATGGTGAATGTTTTGCTGAGTATGCACTATCAATCCCTTTGGAAGTAACTCAAGTAGCACCTTTAACTTTGGCTAGTTGAGCCCAACAAGCCCAACTACACACTCTGGGGCCTCTATCCTAACCAATGGGAGGACTGCCAACATTTATATGAACAGTAGACAGACCTTTGGAGGGGTTCAGGACTTTGAAATGTTAGGGCAACAATGTCGCTTCCTTATTCCAGCAGACAAAATTAAAAATAGATCTTTTTTCCCCCAGAAATTATTGGACACCACACTTTTACCTCCTGCTTCGTCTATCACTACAATTCCAGAACATTCTGAGCTTGACTCTCAGAAAGCTAAAGGAAATCACCTTGCTGACCTGTCTGCAAAATACACTGCCCTCCAAAGGTTCAGAGGTCAAAACCTCTGTCATGGTCCAAAGGAACTCACCTCCAGATGATAATGTGGAGAAACTGCCTAGAGACATCCAACAATCAGCACCAGAAAGGAAAAACAATATTGACAATCAGATGGTTGTTGGTATGGTAAGAAGAAAAACCTCTGGTGGACCAAATAAGAAGCCGGTCCTACCAGAAATTCTAAAATTCCCGCTATTGACCACTGTACATGCATTAAACCATTTGCCTATAGATAAAATGGTAATGTTTATGAATCAGTACTGGTAAGGAAATATTAACAAGGCTTTAGAAAGTGCCTACTTGTCCCATCTGCTCAAAATAAAATTCAGGGAGAGCTATCTCTACAGCTCCTGGCACTTTATATTGCCTACTGAACCATTCAAAGTTTGGCAAATGGACTTTACTCAGCTACTTCCATCTCATGGGTATAAATATGTTTTGGTAATGATTTGTATGGTTTTCCACTGGATCAAGGATTTTGCCTCTTCCAAAGCTAAGATCCTACTGGAAGGATCATCCATACATCAGGAACCCCTCTTGATCTCCACAGCAACCAAAAAATCCATTTAACTGGCCAAATACTATGGCAAGTCTGTGCTGTTTGGCCAGTTTTACAACATTTTCACTGTGCTCATCATCCTCAGTCCTCAGGATGAGTCAAATGAACCAACAACATCATCAAAACTCAACTGGCAAAATTTGCGGAAACTTTGCAAATACTATGGTGGTTGGTTCTTCTAAATCTAGATCCATCCCCTTTGGAACTCATAAACTCTCACCCTTTGAGATATTTACTGGGCGCCTCATAAATCTAGCTTCCACCCCTTTTTATCTGCACCTAATAAAAGGAGATACACTTCAGTCTTGCAAATGTCTAATTACCTCCCTTGAAAATAATCATGCTCTAGTAGTAGAGCCATCTTTTCACAGTGCACTCCCAGGAGACAAAGACCTCAAATACCACACCCTGCAACATGGGAATTTTGTTTATTGGAAAGACCTCTCCAAAAAGACTCTTCAACCACAATGGAAGGGCCCTTATCAAGTGTTAATGACCAATCCTTGTGCAGCCAAAACCCAAGGAGTGGACTCCTGGATCCATGTGTCTTCTATGAAGAAAGCCTCAAAACCTGACTGGATCTGTACACCAACTGGATAACCTCAAATTGAAGATTTCTAGGAATTAAAGCAGACAACAGCTGAAGCAGACAGCTTTCCTCAATATGATGGAATCAGGCCAATATTCTTTCTGCTTTCTCTTACTCTGTTTTCTCCTTCGCTGTCCCAGAAAGACAATGCCCTCCCCCACATTTTCCAATTCCTCACAAAAGGGGGAAACCTTTCTGATGGTTCAGATTCTGTTGGATCTGTCCATGACAGTCATGACTCTTCCTCACAGCAAATCTTCTCCTCCACCTCCACTGCAACCACTAACTCTACCTGCACCTCTCTGGATATCTGTCACTAAGTCAAATTTCTACAACCAGGTTTTCCAGTACCTTGCTTTGATCTCTCCCCTGTCATAACTCTCAAAATAAATAATTGTACCTATTCCACCCATATGGTTGCCCATTCTCATTACTGCCTTAGGTCTCCTTGCCCTAGCAAAACAACCCCTCTCTATACGGCCTTTTAAGAACAAAGTCCACAGAATAAGATTGCTTACACCCCAATTATTCCTCAAACACCACTGACCCTTGGCTTGAAAGGACCAACTAAATCATCCCAATTAACAGCACCATTAATAATCAAGCCCTAGCAGGAATCTTATATGCACCACCTGATTTTATTACCTTTGTGAAGAATGGGCCTCTCAATGGGCCTATGAATGTTTAGACAGCTGGCAGATTGGAGGCCACTGCTTACTAGAATTTCTAACAATAAATCTGAAACCGTTCATTGGTCTTCTCCACTAAACCTTTACTGCTGCTGTAACCAGGAACTCCCAGGAGGTATATAGAACTCTGGATTTGCCTCTATTGGAAGGGCACTTATCCCTATTGTAGGTACTCACACCAATGAACAAATTATTAGAAAGCTCTCTCTGAAGTCAGAAAACCTCTCCAATTCCACTCTGAAGACAACAGTCATCCAATAACAATTACTTGACTCACTGGTTAATGTAGTTTTGGACAATCACGTAATCCTTGATCACCTACTTGCTAAATAAGGAGGTATTTGTGTGATAGCAAACACCTGACACACATGAATAAACTCCTCTGGAGAAGTAGAAAGCCAAATACATAAAATTAGGGAACAAGCATATTGGCTACCACAAATTCCTCATGACCAAAGGGAAAGGAGGGGAGCTGATTGGGGAAAAAGTAGAGAGGAAGACAAACCATGAGAGACTCCTAACTCTGGGAAACAAAGGGTTGCAGAAGGGGAGGTGAGTGGAGGGATAGGGTGACCTGGTGATGGACATTAAGGAGGGCACACGAGGAGATGAGCATTACGTGTTACACTATATGTTGGCAAGTTGAATTTAAATAAAATAGATTTTTAAAAATGTTCCACATGACAATCCATGGTCCTTGATTTCTTTGGCTAGTTGCCTTCAGGTTTAGGCTACTGGCTTTAGACTATGATACAAACTGGGGTCATTATTCTGCTCCTCTCATTTTATTTTATAAAATCATTTTTAAGCTCTGCACCTGGTGCCTGTCAAACCTTTGTAGGAACAATGTACCAGGGGATCCCTGGGTGGCACAGCGGTTTAGCACCTGCCTTTGGCCCAGGGTGCGATCCTGGAGACCCAGGATCAAATCCCACGTCGGGCTCCCGGTGCATGGAGCCTGCTTCTCCCTCTGCCTATGTCTCTGCCTCTCTCTCTCTGTGTGTGTGTGTGTGACTATCATAAATAAATTTAAAAAAATAAAAAAAGGAACAATGTACCAAATAAGGTATTGCTGACTCTGGGCATCAAGATTAACATCAGTGCTTACAACCTTGATATAGACTTTAGATGAGAAATGCCTGAGATTTCTCCCTTCTACCCTCCCTTGTTACTCAAATGTGGCCTCAACAGTTTCCAATCTGGGCACTTCCTTTGACATGGGCCATGACACCCAGAAAAGGTCCTTCCTCACATCAGGGGACAGAAACTTTTCCTATAAGGAACAGATGACCCAACTCTTGGTCAGTGATGCTTTTAAAGAAACATCTTGACCAAAAGAGGGAAACATAAAAATGTGTTAAAGAAATCAAACTCAAAATTGGAGCTGAGAAGCCACAAAAGGAGAGCTGTGACACACATACCACTCATGGTCACAGCCTGCACAATCCAGAAGGAAGATTTCCTCTCAGCCCAGCAACAGCAAGCTGCCCTCGCCTGCAGCCAGTGAGAAGCTGCCACCACTCAGAACTTGTCTCATTTCTCCTCCAAAGAACTTTTGTTCAAGACAAACCCCTCCCAACTTCCTTTCCTCTATAAAAGCACACTCCTCTTTTGTTCTCCCAGGTTGCCCATGGTTCACCATCACTTGCCTGTCCTGAACTGCAATTCCTCTGCTGCTTCTGAATAAACTCAATTTTGCTGGTTGAATTACTTTCCTTTTCCTTTTTTTTAAGCCTTTTCCTTTTAAACGGGTGACAGAAGTTTGTACCTAAAAGTTCCTTATTTTCTCAGAATCTTCTGTTTTCCTCCTATGTAGCCTAATTAGAACAGCACCCACTACAAAATAGTTAAACCACAAAGCAAAAATGTGGTACATGTCAACGCACTTTGCTGATCATAAAACACTATAGAAATGTTACTTTCGGTATTTGTCTTTACTAAGAGATCAGATCCCTACAAATGAAATCCCTGACATTATTGGCCCCTCTTGAGCACGGTTCCTCTACCGAGGCTAAAAGCTGGAAGTTGCTGAGAAAGATAGTGAAGTAGATAGAAATTGTGTTTCAAGGCCAGAATGTGAGTGCCCAATTCTTCAAAGGGCCCATGCATTGCTCTATGAAACCTGTACACAGAGTAAAGATCAAGCATTGAAGCATGGATCTGGGAAAACAATTCTGTTTCTTATTTGCAGAGAGGAGAAGCTTCCTTATCAAAATGTAAGTAATACAAGAACGAAATTTCAAAAGTCACTTCTCAGGCAACTCCTGTTTCTTCTAACATGTACCTCTCTCTTTCTACATGATTTGTTTGTACATCTGCTTTTTGATTTGCAGACACTATCTACTGGCTTCCTATCACGGTAGAACAAACTGCAGGAAAAGTGTTTTGAGCCAAACTTGGGATATCATCATGCAGAACTGTCCAGTGACACATTACTCCGAACAGTCTTTTGACTTCTAGTCTTCAAAGGCCTACATTACATGCAATACAACCTACAGTGTCTCTGTGTAGAGGCAAGAAGGAAGCTAGCTAGGTAGTTGGGCCTAAATTATTAGACCACTCTAAACCTCTCTCTGAATCCAGCTCACTGATGCCCCGTTTTTTGGGGGGTTTTTTTGCCATTTTCATCCACCCCACACAATTTAATCCTGTTCCTGAGGCTACAGGACAAACAAAAAATAGGACCCCAAACTCTCATGCGTTTCAAGACAAGCATGGGCACAATTCTTATGAGCTCTGTGGAAAGGGATTAACCACAGCTAAAAGAAATCCGTTTTTAATTATCTGAAAAGTTATCTAAAGCCAACAAGTATGCAGGATTAAAATGTATGGACTGAATCTCCTGCATAGTATCTGTCCAGAGGTGACCACTAACATTCTCCAAGTGTAGACTTCAGCTGGGGTATGCTAGCTCTGGGCAGGGACAACACCATGTCTAGTGCCAGGTGTACAAGTGAACTTGAGGTCAGGCAGGTGACCCCGCCAAGCAGGCACGGTACATTAAGGAAAGGAAATCTTTTCTCTCATTAATCAACAGGATAAAGGTGATTAAGCAGGAATTATTTTTCAATGACCTACATAATTTCATCAGGGCGGCTCTGGCTATTAGCAGAGAGCAGATGACTTCCTAATAAGATGAATTTGATAGCAGAGCTCTTCCAGAGAACCCGGTGGGTGGGCCCAATCTGTCGCCTTACTATTACTCCTCTGGGCTGCCTCTCCTCTGTTTGGGGCTCCTTCCTCTAAAGGAGATATTTCCCTGCCACCGGATGGCTGAGGTCTGCACCGCTTGCTGAATGGTGGAAGCTGGATCTGTTAGGAATCGGTGGATCCAGGTGGGTGAACCAGGGCTCACGTGATTCCCAAAGTTCCAAGCAAACAAGACTACAGCTGCTACCAACACCTCTCTCTGGCCGGGCTTGAAACAGGACGGCAGCTAGTCCCATCCGCCGGCAGAAACAGGGTTAACAAGTAGGCTCTGTTAGAGTCGGGGCGGGGGAGAGACGCACGGACCAGCAGGCACACCATCAATAACAACCACCACGACGTGAACGCAGTTTCACAGAGACCTTATGAAATTGAGCAACAGCCACCCAGCGAGTCTGTCCCTACGCCCGCAGTGCACTGCAGCCCTCAGAGCGGCACCTCCTCCGTCCCCGGGCGAGCGCGGGGGCTGGGGGAGGAAGGCTGCGCCCTAGAGCTCCTCGCCTCTGCCCGTTCCTCCCCCAGGACCCCCGCTCTCCGGCCTCAGGGACCAGGGAAAGAGACAGCGAGTCCCGATGACATCTTCCTCCGTCAAAACAAGCTGGCTGTCCCCCGAGGTCAGTCACCGGGTAACGCCGGGTAACGCCGGGTCCCGCGGCTCCCGCAGCGCCGCCTCCCCGCCGCGATCCCGTTCGGGGTGTTCCCAGCGCAACCCCCACCCCACCGCCGCGCCTCCCGCCCAGCCGGGGTGCAGGGGACAGGCCCGTCTGCCCTCCCCGCCCCCCTCGAGCCCCCCAAGTAAAGGAGTCCCGCAAGCGCACAGCTCAGAGCAGGATGCCACGTACCTGCCCGCAGACCTGGCTCCTCCTCCCGCGGTGCGGGGCTCTCGGGACGGTGTCCGCAAACAGTCGGGAAAGTTTGTGCCGCCGTCCCGGAGGCACCGGCCGCGGAGCCGCCCCCCGCGCGCGCGGGGCACCGAGAGGGGAGGGGGGCCGGCAGCTCCCCGCGCGGCTCCAACTCCGCAGCCGGCCTGGCCCTGGGAAGGGAGGAGGAGGAGGAGGAGGAGGAGGAGGAGGAGGGAGGAGGGAGGAGGGCTGAGCGCAACTTTTCGACGGTGCGTCAGCGGGTGGCTGAGCCGCGCGGAACCGGGCTCCGCACCACTCACCCCTCCCAGCTCTGCTCGCGGGAGCGGGGGCGGGGGCGGGGCGGGGCGGGGCGGGGGCGGGGCCCAACCTGCGGGGCGGGGCCCAACCTGCCCGGCGGCCTCGGGGAGCGCGCTGCCTGGCCCCGCCCCCGCCCGGCGGCCCCGCCCCCACCGCCGCCGGCCCCGCCCCCACCGCCGCCGGCCCCGCCCCCTGGACGCGCGGCCGCCAGGTGCGCGGGGCCCTGGTTTCCAGGGTGAAGGGGGCGGAGCCCCGGAGGGAAACTTTCCACCGAAACTTAACCCGGGCGGCGTGAAGGACGCCGGCCTCGGGGGCTCGTCTTTTGCCAGAACTGCGTCCCTTCACTCACGGCCGCGCTCACGCACACCCCCCAGGCGAGAAGATGAATCCGCATTTATGAACCAGCGGGGGGCTCGTTTCCTGGGTCCGCGGCGTGGGGGAGGTCGGCCCCGCCGCCCGACCTTTGAGATTTCTCGCCTTCCCGGGGCGTGACCGCGGCCGGCGGCGCCCTCTCCCACTCCGATTTCCTTCGCTGAAGCCTTCCTTTTGTCCCTGAGGTTTGGATTTTAAGATGTCCCTAGAGTCCCAAGAGAGCTGAATCCGGTGACGGAAACGTCCGCCGGCTATTCTGGCATATTCTACCCAAGTGGGCAGGGGCAGATTTGCCCTGGGCGGACAATGGCAGGGTTTGGGGGAGCCAGGGGTGGGAGCAGGTGGTGCTTTTTTTTTTTTTTTTTTTTTTTTAAGATGAGTCAGTGTTACTGCAGTTGTTTGTGAGTATGTGTGCGCGTGGCACACGGTCACTGGCGAACCACACCCCCTAAATGAGGGCTTCACCCCCTAAATGAGGGCTTTGTAATTTGGGCAGTTCGACAGCTGAAAGGAACCATCCCCAGCTGGAGGCTCCCAGGACGACGGGACGGCAGGTTCAGAATCCATCCCCCCCAGGCCACACACACACACTGGGGCAGGGTGAGGTGGGGTGGAGAGAAGTGTTGGTCTTTAGCACGGCACGGCCCGGCCCGGTGTCAACATCCTTCCCAGAGCCCAGACCTCCCTGAGGGAGGCCCTTGCACAGCCTGGCCCCTCCTTTGCCGTCTGCCCTTCATTAGACACTTGGGCCTGTGTCCATGCCAAACTGGGAAGGGCCGCCTTCCCTCCCCATTCCTCTATCTCCCACACCCCCTGCGTGCTTGGGCAGCATAGTCAGTGCTTTGCTTTCTGGACTTTAAATCCAGGAGGAGGAATCAAATTCTTCAGTCGAGGCCTTCTTGGCTGTTTCAGAGCTCTGTGGTTGGCGTGGTTGAAACTTGAGGTAAGCCAAAACCTGAGCAGGTTGGGCCACACCACAGCTTACAAAGGCTGATGTGGAGAATTTTCCACCTCAGCAGCATCCTGCTGGCACCTTACCAAATTCCCATTTGGAGGAAGCATCTTCCTCCCTTCGTTCTCAATGAATGACATCTGGAGAGAACCAAAATCAGGTATCTCCGGTTTCCAGTTCCCTCTTGCAACCACGGTAATGGGATGATACAAATTTCACACTTCCTTCTAAGGCCGTCTACCACCACTGCTGTGGCTCCCGGACAGCAGCAGGAAGACGGTTGCCCTTGCTGTGATTCCTCTCAGGATTCACCAGCGTTTCACCTGAAACAAGTGCAGACAAGGTCCCTTAAGTAAAAGCTGGGAAGGACAAGAGAGAAAGAAAAGAGGAAGTTCCGCTGGGCAGGTCACCTTGGACGGCTCTAATGAATGGAACGTGGGGGAATCATTCACTTAATCACTGTTCATTTAGTGTTTTTTTTTTTCATGCTAGGCATTCTTCTAGGTGTTGGGGTCACAGGGGAGAACCAACACATAAAAATGCTAGTAACCCTAATGGAGCTTACTTTCCAGATGAGAGAGACCAACTCTAAACCTGTGGACTGCCGACTCATTAGAAATGCTCCAGAGGATGGGGATCCCTGGGTGGCTCAGCAGTTTAGCGCCTGCCTTTGGCCCAGAGCGTGATCCTGGAGTCCCGGGATCGAGTCCCACGTTGGACTCCCGGCATGGAGCCTCTTCTCCCTCTGCCTCTCTCTCTCTCTATGTCTATCATGAATCAATAAATAAAATCTTTAAAAAAAATAGAAAAAAAAATAGAAATGCTCCGGAGGAAAATTAAACAGGGTGGAGACATAAGGAGTATGACAGGTACTCTTTCAAATAAGATGATCAAGGAACACCTCTGGAGGAGGTAACATTTGAGCAAAGGCCTACAGGAGGTTAAGGAGTGAGATATCTGGACAGGCAACTTTCAAGGCAGAAAGCACAGCAAGTACCAAAGCCCTGAGGCAGGAACATGCCTGGGTGCGCTAGGAACAACCAAGAAACCAGAGTGGCCGAATGGAGAAGGTAAAGACAGGAAGAGTTGGGGTGGTACAGTTCGGGTGAGGGCTTTTACTCTGAGTGAGTTGGGAGCCATTGGAGGGTTTAGGTTAGAAAAATGACATCTTCTGACACATAGGAGCACTTTGACTTTTAGGCTGAGTATAGACAGGAGTGGGTGGCAGAGACTAGTTAGAAGGCTATTGAAATAATCCAAGAGCAAGAGGATAGTGGCTCTGACTAGGGAGATAGGACTGGAGGTGACAAACTGACAGGGCCTCTTCACAGATTGAATGTGAAGCATGAAGGAAAGAAAGCAAGGAAGACTCTGAGGTTTTGAGCCTGAGCAGCTGGAAGGATGGAATTGCCAGAATAAAGGAGAAGACTTCAAAAGGAGCAGACTGGGTATAAAAATCAAGAAGACCAGAGAGGCTTTTCTCCTCAGCTGCTTGAAGCTCGGCCACCATCATGAATGACACAGTAACTATCTGGACCAGGAAGTTCATGACCAACCGACTGCTTCAGCGGAAACAGATGGTCATTGATGTTCTTCACCCCGGGAAGGCAACAGTACCTAAGACAGAAATTCGGGGAAAACTAGCCAAAATGTACAAGACCACACCAGATGTCATATTTGTATTTGGATTCAGAACCTGTTTTGGTGGTGGCAAGACAACTGGCTTTGGCATGATTTATGATTCCTTGGATTATGCAAAGAAAAATGAACCCAAACATAGACTTGCAAGACATGGCCTGTATGAGAAGAAAAAGACTTCAAGAAAACAGCGCAAAGAACGCAAAAACAGAATGAAGAAAGGGGATCTGCAAAAGCCAACGTTGGTGCTGGCAAAAAGTGAGCTGGAGATTGGACAACAGAAGGAGTAAAGATTCTGCAGTGGCTTTATCTGTAGTGATTGTGCAGATTTTTCATGAGAGGATTAATAAACTAAGAACGTTAATGTGAAAAAAAAAAGGCCAAAGGGAAGAAAGAAAAGAAAGAACACATAACTTGAACAATCTTCAAGTTCCTCACTTTATCAAATGAAGGAAATACCTCGTTAGAGTTGTGTTAAGGATAACATGAATTAATGCAGTGAAGTGTCTAGCACAGTACCTGATAAACAGCAACGGTTAAGAATGTTAACTCCCTCTCTACAAAAACGAGTTTCATACCTATCCACTATGCCCTCTGGGGAGGAAACAGGGTCACTGTTTTAGAGGAAATAAGTCTTACTAAAAGTAAAGGAGAAGGAAATGAAAACAGGAAAGAAAGGGCATGAAATAAAAATATAAAAACAATGGATTATTAGTCATAAAAAAAGAATGAAATCTTGCCACTTGTGACAACACAGATGAACCTTGAGAGTATTATACTATGTGAAATAAGAGAAATGCAAATACCATATGATTTCACTTACATGGGGAATTTAAAAAAAACAAAACAGGGATGCCTGGGTGGCTCAGTTGGATAAGCCTCCAGCTCTTGATTTCAGCTCAGGTCAGTGGTAGCATCAAGCGCCCTGTCGGGCTCCATGCTCAGTGCAAAGTCTGATTCAGAGTCTTCCTCCCTGCTCTGCCCCTCCCCACTCACAGTCTCTCTAAAATAAACTCTTAAAAAAAAAAATCAGACTCATGGATATAGAGAACAGACTGATAGTTGCCAGAGGAGCAGGGCATAGAGATGGGGGATAAAATGGGTGAAAGAGAACAAGAGGTCCAAACATCCAGTTATAAAACAAATAAGTCATAGGGAAGTATTATACAGCCGGGGAAATGCAGTCAATAATATTAATTTTGTATGGTGATAGATGATAACTAGACCTATTGTGATTATTTTACAATATATCTAAACATCAAATCCATGTTATAGTAGTTTCTCCTGAGTTCTATCTACTTCCTTAAGGAGACAAACCAAGGTATCAGAGTTTACTAATTTGAGAAAGGAGTTTAAAATATGAAAAGTTTGTAATAAAACAAAAAAATACAGCATATGTAATAAGCAAAGAATTTTTGTTGCTACTCCTTATAAAAAATTATTTCAAATGAGATGTATCAGTAGAAAAAGTCAAAATAACAGAGAATTCTAAAAAATAAAATTTTAAAAAGCACAAATGGCCAATGAGAAACAATTATTTTTTACTTATAAATTTGGCAAGATCAGAAGAATCATAGAAATAATATTATTGGATGTTGGACAATATCACACCATACTGAAGGAAGTCACAGCAATATTTAGAAATGTAGATCTATCTTGGTTTATCACGGATGGGAAGGGTAGAGAACTTTAAGGAAATTAAGTAAAATTTTTAAAGTTAACATTTCTTAGACTTCTTCAACCAACTTATTTTTCTGTGAATCCCGAAATGGTTGTTTTCACCTCTTGAAATGAATATACAAATATAAACCAGCTACTTGGTATAAATGAGAATTTGTGTGGTATTTATTTAAATGACTTACACATATAATTCTGAGAGAATTTAAAATTACATTCAAATAAAATAATATGCTTATAGAATTTAAAAGAAAGTAGAAATTATTCCTCCAAGATTAACTGGTGGTTACTTGCAAATGAACTTCTCAGAATCTGTTACTCAAATAACTTTGGAAAACTGTATCAAGTAACTG